AATGAAATAATAAAAGCATGTATTCTCAGCTTGAATCTCAGGTTTAATAGATGGATCCAAAGGTTTGTTATTTTGGTTAGAGTCCTTCCAAGCTAGTGAGAGGCAGTGGAGAACCTCTATGATGGGTACTTCCCAGGCCTGATGACCAATCCAGTTGGTCATTACATCAAATAGTGAACTAACATCCATTTCCTCTGCCAGTCCCCAAGTTCCCAAAGTACAGGATGATGTTGCAAGTGGAAGAAAAAGTAAGAAACACATTTGAGCTATTTATTTTAGCAGCAGCATTTCCCTTCTTTCAGAGTCTCATATAGATAAAGAACTAGAACGTAAAAGAAAATAGTTATACTTTGCCTCAGGAAGGAGTTCTGGGTATCTTTTTTTCTTATTTGCCGAAGATAAGGAGTAGAGTGTAAATCCGGGATAGTCATATCAAAGCCTTCTTTCATTAACAGAACTGGAAATGTACCCCCAATAAAGACATTAAAAGAGGGACAGAGCTTGAAATAACCTTCATTGTAATTATTAACTTTAGAAGTGTTGCAGTTGGTGATTTCTAAACCCAACATCTTTCTGTCATTCATCTGGAGCAAAGTGGAGGAAAATAAAGCATGGTGACTGTCCTACTATATTAATACAAGACTAAAAGTGTTTGCTAACATGGAGCAGAAGCAAAACAGCCAGACATTTTGAAAAACACTGTTGGCCTTCACTGCTTTAAATTGTGAGAGTGTGAATCTATGTGTGAATTGTGTTTATATGTGTCTCTGTTTACATAATTCTGGACACTGGAAATTATTTTAATCCCTGTGGTTATTTATAGTATATCAGTATTTTCAAATAGGAGGTTTCCATTAATAAATAGCATGCAAAAGAATGTCTTCATGACATTTGAGTGGACTCCTATTTTTGACCCATTGTCAATTTCTAGATTCTATCTCCTTTTCAGTTTATCATCCTCAGAAAATCCCAATTTGTATTGAATGGTAGAAACTGCAAGACAATGACTGTTAATAAGAATCTAGAGCTAGTTAGTTAGAAACTTGAAGATTCAAAGGGAAAAAAAATATGTTGATGTCTTCAGAAAAAAAATTATGTTGATGTCTTCTCTGTCAGAAATGTGTATTTGGGATTTGTCACTTATGTTTTGCAATGGTCACTAGGACAGGGTAACTCCTGCCTGAATCTCAGTAGTTTGGCTATAGCTTACGAATAATAACACCTCCCTGACCTCCTCACAAAGTTCTAAAGGACAGTATTTTATAATATACAGAGAATTTATAAGATCCTCTCTTTAAACCTTCTGTGTCATGTGTGATAAAAATGCTGTCTATTATGGAGGATGTTGGATTAAAGACCTCTCATGAAAGAGGTAACTCAAGTTGAGGTATTTAAATGTGAATTTATTCTCATGATACCAGAATGCAGTCTACATTCCTACTAACACTGTGCTCTATATTTGAGTTTATTCTTTCATTCTTAGGTGGGAGGTAGTGAAAGAGCACCTACACAGTGCTTAGGGAACAAGGGACACTCTTAGAGCTATTTCACCAGACTTCTATGTTCTGGTGACACTGGGGGCCACTAGGGCCACATTCCACGCACAGTACTGGGTGCTCCAGGGATACACTAGACATGTGCCCCTTGGCACTGGGCAGTCTCCCCAGCCCCTTTTCTCTGGTTCCTTTTGCTTCTCTCTGAGCACTGTGTAGGTGCTCTTTCACTACCTCCCACCTAAGAATGAAAGTTCTAGGAAATAAATGCCTGAGGGGTCCATTGCTTACTCTTTCTTTTTACCTGTATTTAATTTTACATAATTTTGTGGTAAATTCTATGCTTGTAAGCATCTCAGCTGCATGAAGGAACAACAGAAGCCACCAAATAAGACCTGTTTGTGGCCTATGTATTTCAAGATATTAGTATTATCATTGATGGCTTTTGTTTTCCCCTTTAAAATAATTTAGGTACCTGTTGTTAATACTAAAATGTATAAAAAGCATATTTCTTATAGTTTTAAAGGCAAGATTTCTCTTTGTTAATGCATACACCTTCCTCCTTCCCCTATCAAAATCTTTCCCTAAAGTTTTGCTCTTCTCTCTTTCCAAACAATGGAACAAGAATTGTATATCTCAAGTCCCACTTTTCAGAGAAATTGGAAACTAAGGTGCCCATAGTGATGCTTCTTGCCTTTTTAATTCATAGACTTCTATTCATTGTTCCTGAGTTCCTCTATTGAATCAACGTAAGCTGTTAACTATTAACTATATTTTACAATTATGACTATAATCAATGACTATTAAAGGAGTGTTCTCAATTTTATTTAACAATGCTGCTTCCCAGGAAACTCTGAAGATAAAACAGAACATGTGTTATTTTCTTTTATAGCTTTAATTATATTCTGTGCTTTCTATTATTTCATAATATTGGGAGGTTTTTTCCTGATAAACTACATGTTTTACTTAGAAGTGAGACTTAGTGCTATTGCTTTAATGGTGATACTTTCCTGGATTAATTAACCAAAAATGGTTATCAATAGAAGAAAAGGTAGTCTACCTTTATTTCAGCTGTTTCATTAGACATGATTTTGCTTCATAAATGCATACTTTTAGATGATAATAAATATACATTATCTTCTCTACTTCAAATAATCTCTGAGATCAGTACAATTTGAATTTCATTCTCCTACAAATCTATTTTTGGCAATACAATTGAAAGTTCATTTCATGGAAAGCAAATTTAGCTCAGATTTTTATTTTCTCTCTCTTTCTCTTCTTTTTCTTTCATTCACTTGTTTAATAAATAATAACTGGACATAGAATTTATTGGTTGGATTTTCTAACCACTGTGAAGAATTTTAAATGTCTAAGATTACTGCCCTCAAAATTCTTATGGAGATATATACAAAAAGTGAACTTGAAAAAGAGATGTCACAAATGAGTACAGACAGGCCTTTTTCAAGTTCAGAAGCCAGTTTCTACCTTCCTGGCATTTTCAGTCAAAACCTTCCAACTTGCTATCCCTGATGATTTATTTTTAATGGCTCCTTTCATCTTTAGCCAACATATAGGCAGATGTAGGAACATTTCACTCTATCTCCTCTATTTCTACTACTCCAGCTCTACTTTTGAGGTCTTGAAATAAAAATTGGAGGCTATATCTAGAGTACTTTGTGAATGTCAGATATTATCTACCCATTCTCTCTGGATAAAGGAAGTTGGATTGTTTGAATCAAGCAAAAGACATTGCTCTCCAGATCTCTATGTATCAATCATATTGCACATTTAAAATCTCATGAAAGAAAAGTACTTGGCCAAGTTCAGTGGTAAATTATTTCCTCATTTGGGAAAGTTTATTGATAACTCGACTCCTTTCCAATTATTATTTATTTAGAGCTGACTCTAGTTTTATTATACCAATTGTGACCAGAACATAACTCACCATCAAGATTATTCCATGTCTTTTTATTTCCTGGCAAATAATCCTTGATTAAAATGGAGGTAATAAGTAGGACTATTTTATCATCAGTAAAATAATCCAACCAATCTTTTTAGAAATTTATTGGAGTTTTGAGAGGATAAACCTAAACTGAGGTCTGAAGGATAACTGCAAATGAGCGGGGTGTATAGAGATGGCAACCCAGATTTAAAAATTATTAAATTTTAAAAAATTTAAAAATTTTGTAACAAATATGGACAAAGACTCATATTTGTAAAAGAATAGGGGTCATGAAAGATAGCACTGTAGCACTGTCCTCCCGTTGTTCATCGGTTTGCTTGAACAGGCACCAGTAACGTCTCACAACAAATTGTGAGACTTGTTGTTACTGTTTTTGGCATATCAAATACATCACTGGGAGCTTGCCAGGCTCTGCCATGTGGGCGAGATACTCTCAGTAGCTTGCCGGGCTCTCCGAGAGGAGTGAAGGAATTGAACCCAGGTTGCCTCGTGTAAGGCAAAAACCCTACTTGCTGTGCTATCGCTCCAGCCCCATGGAAGATAAGTAGAAAAAAAAATCAATTTTGTCAATGATGCCCATATCTCAAAGTAAGGGAAAAAAGTGGGTGGGGTGAGTAGGAAGCCAAATGATAATTTTATACATATACATGTATATGCTCCTATGTGTGAAAGAGGCAGTTTTTGCTTTTCAGAGTATAACTAGATATAATAAACTTCATATCCACCAATCTATAAAAACATTTATATTTAACCCTCAGTCTTCTACCTGATTAAGTCCCATTTCCATATTTTAATCATTATTTTTATTTTGCCTCAAGTCAATTTTAATCTTTATATCTTTGGATATATAGATTGGATATATAGATATATCTGTTTTAACTGCTAGCATTTTCATCATACTTTTTAAGAGTTTCACTGAAGACAAGAGTATGATTATAGAGTCGTAAACCTAACAACCTTGCATGAAATTATGATATACTAGAAAACTGTTGCAGTTTCTAATCACTTGTCTTAAATAAATATTTTTTAAATGCCCTGTTTGTCAATGAGAGTTGGGGTGTACAGGGAAAGCTTGCACAGAACTTGGGGAAGGCTGTGTTAACCCTTGAGTTCAAACGTCTTCCCATATACTTTATTGAGTTCCTGAGACACTCAGTCTCTTTATTTGTTGAACAGAGTCTGTAATGTCCACTCTTCATAGGTGTGGGCAAAATTAGAATAAATATTGTACCTAAAATTAATCACCTAATATATGGTAGATCGTCATACTTAATTATACCATGAGATCACCTGCTAATGTAGCTATTTTTACGTTAGAAAAGGAAAATTATGTAATCTCTCCAACCAGTACAATATTATTCTCAATATAATAAAATATATACAGCAATTTAGTAAAAGTAAAGCTATTCTTTTGAAATTTGGTTTTAAATAGTCTTTTTCTCTGAGTTTGTGGCATAACTTCAACAAATGTTGAACAGAAATGGCATTTTTTTCTCATTGGTGCAAGGAAAATACTATACATTGTAATCATTTTTTTCTTATAGAATGATTGAAGATAGTGGGAAAAGAGGAAATACCATGGCAGAAAGAAGACAGTTGTTTGCAGAAATGAGTAAGTATGAAATTTTTAAGGAACATCCTATAGCGTTCACAAAATATTCATGAAAATACTAGAAATAACTACTTAGTTCTTAAGGCATTTGCACTTTTCCTTAAGATTCTAAATTGCTTGCATGAAATACATATTTGAATATTTTTTTCTCCTATTGGTAAGTTAAATTTTGCTACTTGACTTGTTAGTGAGTTGTTAAAATGTTACTTGACTATATATCTTATATTAAAAAATATGGTCTTATATATACACACATTAAATATTAGTAATAAATATTTCATATAACCTACTGAACTCTAAAGGCTATTTTTATCTCCCTGCATTATCATAATCTCTGGATATTGCAAGACTAAGTCAAACTTGTGAAATAAATTGAACAAAACCTATAAAATTATATCATATGGTCATAGGAAAAAGGTGTCAGTTACGATGACCCAACCAAATATATTAGCTATTATTTGTATATGATGTGTGTGTCTGGGTGTGGGTGAGATCTGTTCTACAAACCAGAACCTAGAAGATTTAAATTTAGTTAAAAGTTTGAAAGGGAATAGAGATAACTAAGCAAACCAAACCAACTCCAGTAAAGACATCCATGAAACAAAAAGTATTGGTTGATATGAATACATGATTGTCATATAGGCAGCTGGCATATTGTCTCCCTATGGGTTATTTTTCTTACTTATAAGGAAAAAGAACTTGACATGGGGTTAGAGGAGGGGACAGGAAAAAGCACATCTTAAATAAAGTGTATTAAAGAAAAAATTATTCTTATTGTATTTATTTATTTTTTAAGTTCAGTTATCTTTTGTTTTAACAGTCACAGAGTTGATCATGATTGGGTTTCAGTCATAAATGTTCCAACACCCATCTCTTCACCACTGTACATTTCCCACCACCAGTATCCCCAGTTTCCCTCCCGCCCCCTATATTTTCCTCTATATTTTCCTCTCCTCCATACATAAAAAATGAGGATAAGCAGAAGTGAGTTTAAGCCTTTTCCCCTGCAGACAGTAGACAAAATTAGGTTTTTATTGAAGATTGGAACTGATTGGCATACATAAGATAAAGAAAATTTCCAGGTAAGATTCATATTTTACTTTATCTTCTCCTAACACTAACAGTGTTAGAACTAATAAAGAGAGAAGAAAATTAAAATCAATGTGAAAAATCGCACTTATGCTTCTGTTCTTTATACTTTTGAATAAATGTCTAAATTGTCCATGATATTTTTAGACTTGGAGTTTTAGCCACACTTTTATAGACCATGTTTGATGCTGCATCTTGTTTTATGACTTGCCTGGTCATCTGGAATAGTGACCTTGTTGGTACAAATCTGACAGAACCAGTGACTAGCTACTGCCTGCTGTTTTAGACAGTATCAAAACTGGCATGTCATAGGTTCTTAGACTGAAAAAGCAGGAGCCATGTATATTATGAGTCAGTGATTAGTCAGATTAACTAAAAATATATATTAGCACTTAGTAGATCTTGGCTAGAGCAATAGCACAGCGAGTAGGGTGTTTACCTTGCACATGACCAACCTGGGTTCGATTCCTCTGTCCCTGTCGGAGAGTCCCGCAAGCTACCGAGGGTATCCCACCCTCACGGCAAAGCCTGGCAAGCTCCCCTTGGCATATTCAATATGCCAGACACAGTAACAACAAGTCTCACAATGCAGACGTTATAGGTGCCCGCTCGAGCAAATCTATGAACAATGGGAGGGCAGTGCTACAGTGCTACAGTAGATCTTGGATAAAACCTTTGAATTTTACATTGTTATATTAAAGAGTTTATTAGGCAACACTCTAAGAATATTAAAAGTATGCATATTCAAATGCATACTTTTGAATGCATTTGTTTTTATCTCCCTGCATTATCATAATCTCTGGATATTGCAAGACTAGGTCAAACTTGTGAAATAAATTGAACAAAACCTGTAATATTTCAAATATTTTGTAAATACCTATTTGAGTGTTAATACATGACCTCAAGTTTCTCCTGGACCTCATGCAGTTCCTGCCACAAATACATGTTTCATAAATGTTTTTAATTAAAAGCATCCATCTTAAATAAAGATCAATTGTATAGCTGTAGAAAGGAACAGCTGTACACTTCTAATTGAAACTTAGGAAAATCGTGCATTCATTTATCAAATAGTGACTTTATCTTTTAATAAAATCTTTTGTACTTTATTAAATATTTTGAGTACCTTTAAGTAACGATCAAATCAGAATAGTTAGTAAGCCACACAAATATATAGATTTTTCCCTTGCATTTACTATGTGATAGAATAAGAGGGTGTTGTGAATTTGTCAGTAAGCATTGTGATTATTTAAATTAAATGGGACTTGTCCACAGTAAGTGGGCTTCTTTAGGACAAAAAGTTGGCCAGTTTTAAAGAAGAAAGTGATTTTGGGAGTTCCACCAACAAACAAAACAAAACAAAATGAAGGAGAAATGTCATGTCACTAAGAGTACACTAAATAGTTGAAAACAACAAGGTTACCCTAATTCTATCAACAGAACACCAAAGAAATAAATGGAAATTATTTCAGATGAAACTGGCATAAAGATGTATAAAGCAACTTCTCCCAGGAGTCTGGGACATATCAACAGCAAATTTAAAAGGCAGCAGAAATTTATAAATCACTTCAGTTGAGCATTGTCTAGCAATAGTAATTTTAGGCTTGGGGTTTGTTATTGTAATTGTTGTTGTTGTTTTGTTGATTTTGTCTTTTAAACACACCAGGTGGTACTCAGACCTTACTCCTGGCTCTGCACTCAGGGATCACTCCTGGTGGGTTTAGGGGACCAAATGGGGTACCAGGGATCGAACCCAGGTCAGCCACATGCAAGGCAAACATCCTACCCATTATACCTTTCAATAATATTTTTAAACAGCAGAAGAGAGTGCCATAGAGTTTCTTGTTTTGAAACTTATAACGTCAAAGAAAAATTGCATGTGATCCAGTTAAGAAGGCAAAGAAAGACTACATTCAAGATAATTATAAGAGAGAAAAAAAGGTTGAGTGAATTTAGTCACAGGGGTGAACTAGTGCCTGAATACTGAGGGCTGTGAATAAGGAAGTTTGTGGGATTTGTTTGTCAGTTGTCACAATTAGGAAATTAGGCTCCTACCCTTCCAGGAAACTGGGAGATTTTCTTCAATGATTCCTTTCAAAGGAACCGCTTCCAGATCCTTCAGAAACTCATTCTGGGCTATAAAACTAGCTAGAGCCAGAGACTTCCATCTCAAAGGAACAAAGACTATACAATGGAAAGTTTTCTCATGTAAATGCTGGAAGGAAAAAAAGGTCAAGAGGTCTCAAGTCAGGAAGAAGCTTACCTAAAGTTTTAGTGGAATTGAGGGAACCTTAAGTTTATCTGGTCTGTGAAAGAGACAAAGAAACTATCAATTGTTATATAAAAAAAAAAGTAAAAAGAAATTTTGCAAGTTCATGTTTAGCAGGTTCATCTTGTACTCAGATCATTACTACAAGCAACAGAAGCAGAAACAAAAAAGGGTGAAACTAAGGGCAACTAAGTGACTCACAAAGTACAAGCAAATAAACAAAAAAGAATAGCCATACAGGCATATATACAAATTTAAAACCTGAGTAATTGCCTACATTAATTACAAAAGAGCAAATCACCTTTAATTTAAAAAAATTTTCTTCTGTATAATAGCTTAATTACCAGTTTATTTAGTTCCATTGATTAAAATTGAAAAGATTTGGGTTGGTCTTGCTTTCTGTATCCACAAGGTGGGTCAGACTTGGTCACTTTATTACTTCCCAGGAATTTCACTGCCATGATGGGGGGAGTGGGGGGTGGATTGGAGGAACCTTCCTTAAACTACCTGCCCACATCAACTCACATCGACTGACTTCGACCTCTCACAGATAAATTGTCTGCTCCTAGAATTAAAGTCTTTACTGTTTTGTGCTTGGAGCACGTTGGGTTTGTCTTGTATAACCCTTGTGAACAGGTTCATGTCACTGTTATAAACTTCTCAAAGGCAAGTGCTGAACCCATTTACCTTAGAGACTGATTCAGTATTGGTTTATAAGCCCGCAGGTTATGGGAATAGCAGGTTTTGATGAGAGGAAAGTATTTGGAAAGCACACTTTCAGAAGAAGGGAGGCCATCTAACACAATGGAAAAGGGCCTGGGTAGAAAGGAAAATAATACTGCCGACTTTTAAACCAAGGAGTGGCCAAAAATTAAAGCAAGGCAAACAAAGGTATAGGTACTCAGCAAACATTGCTGAATTATTTGAAGGCAGACACAGTGTTAGTTACAGTCAACATGTACATAGTTGCAATGGAATCTAGAATTTGATTTTGCAGTGTATTCTAGGAAAACTGATTTTAAAAATTCAGAGGGAAAAAAAATACATGAATAGACCAACTAACTGTCAGAGGCCATGGTAGGGATTATTTTTATTTACATCTTTATTTCTCATGTCCTACAGTTTGTTTTAACGGTACAAATCAACACGAATCACCATTCTGGAAAGTTCTAAGTCACCACCTAGTCTGGCATCACACTTCTGACCACTCTCTCCATTTCTTTTTTTTTTTTAATGTAGGAATACTGTTATTTATTCAGCCACTGATTAACTGATTGAATTGAGCATAAACTCCACCTTAATTTTTTTTCAATTTTTAAAATTTTATTTATTGAATCACCATGAGAGTAGTTACAAAGCTTTCAGGTTTAAGTCTCGGTCATGAAACACCCGTACCTTCACCAGTGCCCATTCTCCACCCCCAAAAACCCCAGTAAGTCCCCATGCCACACCCTTCCCCTACCTGTGGGGCAGATGATTTCCACATTACTCTCTCTCTCTCTATTTTGATTACATTCAATATTTTGACATCAGACACACATTATTTGAGATTTTGCCAACACTCAGATCTGCTGAAAAGGCAACAGTAGACAATTTGTTTTCTATTGCTTGTTTTGAATAACATATGATACTTTCTCCCATTTCTGTCTCTAGACTGAGGCAATAGCACAGCGGGAGGGCGTTTGCCAGCCTGGCCAAACTGGGTTCGATTCCTCTGCCCCTCTCAGAGAGCCCGGCAAGCTACCGAAAGTATCTCACCCACACAGCAAAGCCTGGAAAGCTATCTGTGTCGTATTCAATATGCCAAACACAGTAACAAATCTCAAAATGGAGACGTTACTGGGCCCGCTAGAGCAAATGGATGAATGGGAGGACAATGACAGTGACAATAGCCTCCTGATCCCAAGGCATGCTATATCAAAGTTTTGTTCATGACCAATTCTCTTTTCATATATTATTTGACTTTCAAGGGCTGGAGTGATAGCACAGTGGGTAGGGCATTTGCCCTGCATGCGGCCGGCTAGACCAACCAGAGTTTGATTCCTCCGCCCCTCTTGGAGAGCCCAGCAAGCTACCAAGAGTATCTCGCCCTCATGACAAAGCCTGGCAAGCTCCCCATGACATATTTGATATGCCAAACACAGTAACAACATCTCACAGTGGAGACATTACTGGGCCTGCTCCAGCTAATTGATGAACAATGGGAAGACAGTGCTACAGTGCTACTATTTGACTTTCAAAACTTAACCCTTATTGTAGGACTTTCAAATATTCTAGAAATCCTCCAGGCCACTCCCATAATCTCATCAGCCAGTTTATTTAGACTATCTAAAAACTAAATACTAGTGCTCACCAAGATTCTACTTAATATTCATGATTTCATTCATTCTCTGGGAAAGAACCAACCAAAATAGATCTTCCAGTCACCTTACTGATCCTTTTTAGCAAAACAGAGGATTGGTTAAATCCTCATCATAAATTAGAGGAGAGCAGATGGTGAGCTGTTGTTCCTATGCGTCAATTTTTCATCCCTCTTTACTGCATCTGGGAGAGTTATACTTTGGCTAAATTGCCACAGAAACTAACTAGAAAATTTAACTGTCATTTTACACCCAAGGCTTGAATCCCTATTCTGAAAAATGTATACAAATAATCTGTGTCCCCAATGTCTTCTTTTAAGCAAGTGTTTGTTAGTATTGGAACTCTTCCTGATTGTTGAACCAAGCTCATCAATAATAACACTACTTTCTTAGTGTAGTCTAGGAGAAAAGACTACAGATTCAGATATATCTAATAGTCTTATCTTTGATTGTTCCTCATTCCAGAGAGTTTATTTCCTTTATGAGTTTCACAGATTTATACAGGACATAAATATTGAAATACCAGTAACAACATTTTGTTTGTTTTGGGTAAAGTAAGTAAAGTAAGTCAGGTCTTACTCCTGGCTCTGCACTCAAGGATCACTCCTAGTGGGTCTTGGGGAACCATGTGGTGCTAGGGATTGAACCCAATTCACCGCGTGCATGGCATAGTAATAACATTTTTTAAAATAGCAATTTAGAAGCATGAGCTAAAAATAAAAGAAGGAAATTTTATTTCAGGACCACATAAATATAAAATATAAATATTAAATCCAACTTTGCCTCCTAATAAACTTTCAATAGTAAGTAGAAAAGGCCTTATCTAATATATTTTGGGGTGGTTTTGAAACTAGAAATTTCAGGCTTAATAAAAGTCAGAAGAGTTATTTATAATTTAGAAATTACATTAGTAAATATTCACAAAAGATGATAATGATTTCTTTCTATATGTTTTAAATAGACACGGAAGTGGGCTGCTGCATTTGACTTTTGTACCTATCATTTTAAGGAGATATCGGGCAGCCATAGAATAGGGTTCTAAAATGGGTAAGGGTTTTAAAACCATGTCAGATGATAATGAGGAAAACAAAAGCAACTTTTATGCATTGAAGCTCTGTTGCTGCCCTGATCTGTGATGGACACAATTGAAATGATTTCAGAGTTGAGTATCTACAAAATCAAAAGGTCAAAGGGAAGGCACAGCCCTCTCTAAACTTTAAATTCCATCAAGAGAGGGCTTTTTGTACAAAATCTTCACCTGATGACAAAAAATGATAACTCCTGCCCAATGCTTAAAAAATTAATTATCAAATGCAGGGCAAAAAGATTACAGGGCTCCAGAGGGGAAACTAGATCAAATGGATTGATGACTCAGGGAGGCAAATTAAAGTTCAAACATTTCATATACATTTATCATTTATTGTTGCTCAGCAAGGCATAGCAGGCCATTTAAGGAGGCCCATCTGTTGTTAACCACTCGCTGTGTATCAACTATAGAGTTTGTCCTAAAAGTTGTTAACTATTTTGCCCACTATAAACATGAGAAAATTAAATGTTTTGTAAAAAAATTGATGAAATTCACTTAATAATAAATGACAGATAAGAAGTTCACACAATTTTATAAAATTCACACAATAAGAAAAGGAAGTGACAAATTCAAGTTGATTGAATTTATTTTGGGGGTGGTGAAAGAATTTGAGGCCACACCCTGCAGTGCTCAGAAGCTATTTCTATCTCTGTAATCAGGAGTGACCCCTAACAGTGCAAGGATAATCATATCCATGCCAGGGTTAGCCATTTGCAAGAAACGCTCCTTACTCTTTGTATTACCTCTTCCGATGGTAAAGCAGACTGACTGTAAAGTCCACTTATTATCACTGCTATAATCATCCACTCTATCATTGGAAATAATCGTACCATGCCTTTGGCTAAATGTTCATCTCATCTGTCACTGTCCTCCTGTTATTCATCAATTTGCTCGAACGGGCCCAGAAACGCCACCAGTCTGAGATTTGTTGTTACTGTGTTTGGCATATTGAATACATCACGGGTAGCTTGCCAGGCTTTGCCATGTGGGTACAGTACTCTTGGTAGCTTGCCGGGCTCTCCGAGAGGGGCAGAGGAATTGAACCCGGCTTGGCTGGGTCAGCCACGTGCAAGGCAAATACCCAACCGCTGTGCTATCGCTCCAGTCCATAAAAAAAAATAAGGAAATTTCTAGATTGGGTAAAGGAAAGTTCTTACCTACTTTACAATTCCAAGTGCTCAAAACCAAAGAAACTATTTGTCAAGTAATATATTCTGATGATAATGAGTTTTAATGATTGTCCTTATAACACCATATAGTGTTAGGAGTATTTATGGAATTTTCAACCGACCTACTGATAAAAATAAGTGTATTATCAATGATTAACAAAGGGTTTGAAAAAAATTAGTCTGAGTTGAAGAAATATGGCAAGTTTCAGAGAGGGATACTTGCTAATTCATTTTTTATTTTATTAGGAAAATACTTAATTGGTCTCGTGATATAGTTACTTCTAAATAAGATCATTTCCTTGCTACCCTAATAATTGCATTATAAAATGCTTGTATAATAGTTACTAATAAAGTTCAAAACATTTCCAAAAAAGCTATCTCCATATAGTTATTAAGAACCATAAACTTGGGACTGAAGAAAACCAAATGTATAGAAGAGATAATAGAGAGTGGCTAACAGTCTATTATATCCTAAATCCAGTCTAAAGATTAGCACATTCAAAGAGGTAAAAGAGGATTCAGAGACATATGACAGCAGGTAGGATATCTGTCTTGCACATTGCCAACCCAGGTTCAATCCCTAGCAACCCATAGGTTCCTGGAACCAACTAGGAATGGTCCCTGAATGCAGAACCAGGGAGTGTTATCAGGTGTGATCCCAAAACAAACAACAACAAAAACAAAATAGGAGGGTGATAGAGTAGAAAGATTATCAGGCAGGTAGCTGTAGACATAAAAGACATCCCATCTTCAACTTTAATCTAGTAGAGATTTGGGGTATATAAAATGGGAAAAGCCTTGATTGCTTTGTTTTGGACTTGAGACACACCTTAGGGTACTCAGGGGTTGCTCCTAGCAGCGTTCAGGAAATCATGGATACCAGGGACCATGAGTACTAGAAATGAACTCGAGTAGCCCACATACAAAGCATGTCCTCCAGCTCTTTGAGTTATCTTTCCAACCCAAAATGTATGTGAATACTTGAAAAGAGTATTTGGACCTACTGTTCAGCGCATCCAGAGCTATGCTGGACTCTTGATGAGATGGGTGAAAATAAGAAAATAGTACAAGAATATGGGGGAACATATTTTTCCATGTTTAGAAAAGTATCTCTTCTGAGGTTGACAGGAAAGATTGTTGGAGAGATGTTAGCAGTAATAATGAATATACTTACATAGAAGATAGTGGGGTAAAGTCAGTGTTCTCAGGTGTTTGGGTCTGTTTATACATTCATCCTTTCCAGAATTCTGTGAATAAGTAGTAGTATATAACCCTCATCTTCCTGAAGAGAAAACTAAGGTTGATCATAGCAATTGATATGTCATTCAAAAATGATCAATTCAGCACATGAAAACCTCATAACTAGATACTAGTGGTCAGTCCCAGCATATTATCAATGATTATCTGAGGAGATTACATTCTGATAGCACCTGCTTGTTTCAGACACAGCTTGAGCCAAACATCCTAGGGCTGAGGCTTTATCCTTTGGCCTCTGTATTTGGTTGGCTTCCAGACTTCCCATGTTGGAGACCTGTACTTTCTTTTCCTAGAATCTGCATTGTTCTAGAATGTATGGGGTCTGTAAATGTTTTAAAGTAATATTTGCCTTCAAATGAAATAATAAATTAAGTATACATTTCTTTAATTGTTTTATTTTATAAAAACTGTAAATTTCCTTCCACAACATGGCAAATCATATATGTCTTTTCTCCTCCCCAGGGGCTCAAGATCTGGACCGTATCCGACTTTCCACCTACAGAACAGCTTGCAAACTTAGATTTGTTCAGAAGAAATGCAACTGTAAGTATGTCAGTTGCTTGAACTGATTACTGTGATGAATCCTGTAGATTACATTGATTAGCTTCTTAAAGCTAGATTCTCTTGCTAGTATTGATAAAAATATGTTTGTACAGAATATTGTAAGACACAATTGGGAGAAAATATTACTAAGAAATTCCGAAGAAATAATTACTCTTATCTTCTAAAGTATTTAAAAGGACAGCCTGTGGATGTGTATTTATTTCTACTATTGTAACGATTAAACTCTGGATTTATGTGTATTTTATTATGTGTATTTATTTATTTATTTATTATGTGTATTTATGTGTATTTATTTCTACTATTGTAACGATTAAACTTGTTTCTTTCATCTAGTGGCATGATAAGGCAGTGCCATCAAAACATTGTTCAAAAATGTCATCTCAAACATGAATTTGGTACTCTACTAGGTATCAGGGAATGAGCAGTGTGGACTAAAATGGGCAGAGAGATATCGTGCTGAGCCCTAAAAAATTTTAGTTAGATGGTGGACACAGAGGCTGAGGCTCTTATCTTGTACACAGCTGAGCCAATTTGACCCCCAGGTACCAGCAGGAATGGTGACTGAGCACAGAACCAGGAATAAGCTGCCTGTGGCCCAACCTTTCCCCCACCCCGCCCACCACCACCTCCCCAAAAATTAGTAGTGGAAAGTTGTTTACTTTGCAGTGTATCTTACAGAATATCTGTTTTAAGATATGAAAAGATGCTATATTTATACAAAATAGACAAAATCAAGGTTCAAAGGAAGAAAATTTTGCCCCTTCCTTAAAATATACTTTGCAAAAGCATATTTTAAAACTCTGCAAAGATGAAGTTTCATTTTCAGTGGTTCTTACCCTAACCAGAGCATTTATGTTCATAAGTTTTTCTGACAACAAAAAAAAAGTTGTGATCTTCAAAGTCAATTGTAAAATATTAATACAATTGAGCCTGGCTTATTTTAATTGAGGTTGGAGGCATCCTTTTAGCAAGATAGCCAGCAGTATATGTATTTGTGTGACATATTACTAGTTCATATTGACTATTTACTGCTGTATTAAAGCCAGATCGTTTTTGTCTACAACAAATGTTAGATCATAATAAAATATGGTAACTCATAATGGAGTTTTACTTTTTTAGCAAAGAAAAATTTCAGGTAGTATATTTGTAACTGCACATCTTTATTTGAAGACTCTTATATACTATTTACTTCATAAGAATCATAGGTCTGAATTGACAAAATGTTTACTTTCAGGTCCAGACTATTTACAAGTTTATTTTATTTTGCATAGTAAAAGACTAAGCTTTAATGGATAGAAAACATAAAAATGTCATACTTTCAAAAGTTATCACCCACAAAAAATATTTTCTGAATAGGATATTAAGTGTGCAGATTTTAAAATTTCTTTCTTATCGGCTTTCAAAGATGAGTAGAATTAGTTTGCTCCCTATCTTCCTAGCTATTATGGTTTCTCATATAGAGCATTGATCCATATTACTGATGGTTAGGTTCATTGCCTTAATGCAGTTCCTGATGGATGCTGCATATAACTGGTTCCAGTGTTCTAAAAAGATGCTATTCAAGAGGCCAGAAGCTGTGGTCTGTGGAACTAAAGGTAGTTCAGTTCAGCACTGATTTTTGTATGTCTCCATATACATAAACATGACATAGACACAGACATGGACAGAGATATGGATATATAGAGAGATGTAAACACACATAAATAATCACCAACGTCTGGTGAAAAAATATTGTCTTTCTCAGCCATGAGTTCCTCTGTACCTCCAACTTTTCACCCTAATGTTACTGCAAAACAGATTAAATGCAAGTGAGTTTTTTACTCCATGTATGTAAAATTAGGATCAAAACTCCAGATGTTTATGAAGTTATAGTTCTTCATTTAGCAGTTTTGACAAGCTGGTCAGATTGGGCTCCCCGGTTCCCTGTATTTGGGCCTCACATTGATTCCACCCTCACTGTAGGGTCCCAGGTCTGCCATCTTGGTCCTTATTGGTCTGTTTCTGGTTCTATCCCCTGGAAATCCATGGACATAGTGTCCCTTGATGGCCTGCTGGTCTGTCACCCATGCTCTGGGGTCTGCCTCTCTTTACTTTCTTTTGGTTCCTTTGACTTTTCTTTGTTCTCTGGCACCATCTTCCCAGACATATGTGATGGATTCAAAGTGAAGCTGCCATCCATCTGGGCTCAAGGAAAAGAGGAAGTTGATTGATCTATGTATCCCTTTTAAGTGTTTAAGTGTTACTATATCCACCCCTTAGCCATTTCTGGGCTCTCTCTCTCTCTCTCTCTCTCTCTCTCTCTCTCTCTCTCTCTCTCTCTCTCTCTCTCTCTCTCACACACACACACACCCCTCTCATTGGCAAAATTTAAAATAACTAATTACATTATCCTGATTATCCGAAGCCCCTCCCTCTTTCCTCTAACTTCTCCCATTACACTGGGATCTACTTTCAAACCAGCCTCTAATCTTTGCCATTTGTCTTTGTACCCTGTCATACTCTCCATTTTCATGGCAGGCTTAGCATACACCCTACTTAATTAAAAGAATGAATGTTTTAAAAAATTAGGGAACACCAACTTAGCTATTTTGTTTTCTGGGACAGAATGGAGAATCGAAATAACATCTGTATATTCCTTTCTAATCAATGGCCTTCTCTTCTCTTTTGTTTCCAAGTTTTCTGGTACCTTCTCACAAAGACAGACATCCTGTATACCACTTTTAAGTGTGTTAAAATGGAAGCATTTCAGCCTATTTGAAATAATTACAGGTTTCTACTAGAGAATTATTTTCTTGGTCAGCATTGACATGGTTAATGATCCAGATACCCTGTAATGTCAGCAGATATTTTTTCCAGAAATGACTTTGAAATCAGTGGAATGCAGCATTAAATTCATGAATACAAACTGCAACAAAAGAGATAAATCAGAAATCTGTAATCCTGACTGCTTAATAATGGGAACAAAAATAAAAAGTCAGAGAAGATGCTTTTCCCCACACAGCTGGATTGCCCCATCTTTTATTTCTTCTGGTTACCACATGAATTTTCTCTCTGTCATATATACCAACCAAAAAAAAAAAAACGGTAATATGTTGATGAAAGAGAGAAGTATATAATTTTTGTTTAAGCTTCCAGAACTTCTCAAAATATCTTTTCTCTACGACAATGTTTCTTAACCAGGGTCCATATGGTTCCCTGGAGGCCCCCTGGGACATTCTTTAGAGCCAACCAGAAGAACAGCAGGGTCTACAGGAAGAAAAGAAGGTCAGAAGGGCGCCACAGTCAGAGGTGGAAGAGTAGTGCTAGAAGAAATTAATTTTTTTTTTCTTTTTGGGTCACACCCGGCAATGCACAGGGGTTACTCCTGGCTTTGTCATCAGGAATTACTCCTGGCGGTGCTCAGGGAACCATATGGGATGCTGGGTATTGAAAGCAGGTTGGCCACGTGCAAGGCAAACACCCTACCCGCTGTGCTATCATTCCAGCCCCAGAAATTAACTATTTTTTAAAATACCCTTAATCAGTTATAATGTAAGTTTGAACACATGCTTTCATTTTAATATCTCTAAACTTCTTTCCAGTTTCTTCTAAATGCCCCCAAAATGCAGTTACCTGTCTCCAAGTTTATGCTATAGAATTAATCCAAGTGAGTGCTGTTTATAAAGTAGGTCCTGAATAAACATCCTTCCCTGAATGAATAAATATGCCCCATCAAATTAATTATGTCAGTCAAGTGGCTAGTCTTACATTGCAGGAATAGCCTTTAGGTATTTTTTCAGTAACTACTGGACCGTCCCTCTTGGAGAGCCCGGCAAGCTACCAAGAGTATCTCGCCTGCACGGCAAAGCCTGGCAAGCTACCTGTGATGCATTCGATATGCAGTAACAACGAGTCTCACAATGGAGACATTACTGGGCCCGCTCGAGCAAATCAATGAACAACGGGAGGACAGTGCTACAGTGCTACTGAATAATTTTCCAATTATTTTTCTTTGGGTTAGTGCACCACCACACTCCTTTACATCCGTTTTAAGGCCTGTATCTGTTTTCTATTGTTATAGAACAAATCAGCACAGATTTAGCAGTTTAAAAGAATACCCACTAATTATCTTATGGTTTCTTTAGTTAGAAAGCCAACACGGCCTATCTAGATATTCAGCCCAGCGTCTAATGGTACTGAAATCTAAGTTCTGGTTGGGTTCATAGTTCTCCTGGGTGGACTGTGGGGCAAGCTTTCTGCCTCCAAGTGGAATGAGAGTGCTTTTCCTTGGTTGTTGCAGGATTGAGGTCAGGTTCCTTGCTGGCAGCGTGACAGGGGCTGGTCTAAATTCCTACCTGCTGCCTGCATTTATTACCCCTTGCTCTCAGTAGGTCTTTTAGAGCACAGATAGTTGCTGCTTCTTCATAACCTCTCTCCAGACTTCTTCCTTGGTGAGTAGCCAGAGAAAACTCCAGGCTTGAAAAGGACTCATGGGATTGGGTCAGGCCCTTTCAGCTAATCTCCTTATTTTAAAGTCAATTGATTTGAATTCATCCCTTCTTTCATAGCAATACCTAGACACCCGTTTAAATAATGGAGAGGTGTGTATCGACCAGGACAAGCAATCTGGAGTGGGAAGTGGGGAGGGGGGTATATAAGGGCTGTTAGTGGATTTTAGGATTCTGCCCACCACACTGCCCAGGAACACCATGAGTAATTAATGACCTCAGGTAGCAGATAGGAATTCAGATTTTTTGTTTGTTTGTTTTTCAATGGCTTTAGAAAGTTTACAGTAAAAGCTCTGGCATAAAAAAACAGATCTTAAGAATAAGATGAGTATGACAAAGATAGTTGTAAATGATCACTCTGGATAGGAACTGCGTGCTGAAAGTAGGTAAAGGAACAAACATGATAATCTCTTGGTATCTGTTTTGCAAACCATAATGCCCAAAAGGGAAGAGAGAGATAGATCTAGAGATAGAGAGAGACAGAGAGAGAGA